CATCGCCAACCTCCCCCGTCCAACGCAGTGTAGGCGAGGTCTCCGGCAAGGAGACACGGGGCCAGAGGTTGAGCTGATGCGCAGCGTACCGGACCGCAAACGGCCACAGAAAATGGGGAGCAGCCGCATGGATCATGGAGGTACGAGCGACCTCCATGATTAAGCCAATGCGGCGCTCAGCAACCCCATTCTGCTGCGGGGAGGCCGGAAGCGTGAACGACTGGAGGATGCCCTCCCCACGACAAAGAGGTGGCGACACGAGCAGGGAGGGGTGACCAAGATGGTGGTGCCAGAGGACAGTCTGGTGTGAGAGGTGGCGACACGAGCAGGGGGCTGCTACCTGTCCTGAAGCGGACACCTGACCAGACGCAGCTACCTGGGGAGGCTCAGTAGTCAGTGTGTACAGGCTCGACCCCGACCGACGGGTGAACGTGGCCAGGTGACGGCCCGTCCGTGCACACGTGCAGATCGCCACACGCTGTCCTCCAGGGGTAAAGGTATCAACCCAAGCATCCTGAAGGACAGCGGTACTCACCAAATTCGTAGAGAACGCGGGGAGGTGAAGACCTGTCAGTGAGCCAGACGGAACCGCCGGACACGGAAGAACAGTGGAGGAACGTGCAAGGACCGGGCCCCCTGAGGGGTCAGCCAGAGAGACTACAACAGATGCAGGGAGCGGTGTGATTGTAGTGCTGTCGCGAAAGAAGCAGCGGGAAGCACCTGAGTCAAGGGTTTAGGTGTACGAGGCCTTAGCAGGCGCAGTACCAGAGAGAGCAGACTCACTAGCACCTAGAGCAGCAACCGCTATACCAGGGTCAGGGGGCACACACAGGTAACAGTCACCCTCAGTATTAACAGTCAGAGCATACACGGCAGTAAGGATAGTGTCATAGTCTAGAGCAAAGATATCCACCTTGTTGCGCAGCAGCTCTAGCCAGGGGGGAGCTCGGCCTTGTCGCCAAACACTGCACCGTAGGCGTCACTCAGACGGGCGAAGCAGCGAGCCTGTGTGTGAGAGAGCGTCCCGCAAGTCTGACCAGCCCGATCACCTGTGCGAATGACGTACGGGCAGCGGGCAGTACTCCTAGACCCCCCACTCTGAGCGTACCACTCACGAAGCTGCTGGCGCGTAAGGGTCTCGCTCGGACGCCGCTGCAGCTGCATCTGGCCACCGCCAGAAACTCCGCACTGAACAGCTCCAACACGACTACCACGACGGCCGCCGCCAGCACACCACCTTGCGTACCACTCACGAAGCTGTTGGGGCGTAAGGGTCTCGCGCGGACGCCGCTGCAGCTGCATCTGGCCACCGCCAGAAACTCCCCACCGAACAGCTCCACAGCGACAGCTACTACGGCCGCCACCACTCCCACTGCTGCCACCACCGCCGTCACCACTCCCACCGCAACTACGAAGTGAAGTCATAGCGGGCAAGCAAGGAGGCGCGCGACCAGTAGGGCACTACGGAGGGAAGGCAGTAGCACGAGCAGCAGCAGCAGCAGTAAGAGCAGCAGAGCGGCTCGGTGAGGCTGGGCTGCAGCACCTCCAGCACCCCTAGCAGCACCTCCACCAGCAGCAGCAGTAGCACGAGCAGCAGGGCGGATCGGGATGGGAAGGGCGGCTCGGGCTGGGCGGCGCGGCTCGGCCTGGGCGGCGCGGGCAGCAGGGCGCGCGCTGTGCAGGGCAGCAGGGCGCGACGCGCGGGCTGCAGCAGGGCGCGACGCGCGGGGCAGCAGGGCGCGACGCGCGGGCTGCAGGGCGGACGGGCGACGCGACGGGCAGGCAGCCTGCATGGGCGACGCGACGGGCAGGCAGGGCTGACGGGCGACACGACGGGCTGGGACATCCCGTACGGGCGACGCGACGGGCAGGCAGGGCGGACGGGCGACGCGACGGGCTGGGGCAGCCCGCACGAGCGACGCGACGGGCACGGGCAGGGCAGACAGTCGACGCGACGGGCTGCAGGGGCGCACGGCGCGACGGGCAGCCGGGGCGCGCGACGCGAGGCAGAGCAGGGCGTGCGCGGGGCAGCGCAACGCGGGGCAGGGCAGGGCGTGCGCGGGGCAGCGCAACGCGGGGCAGGGCAGGGCGTGCGCGGGCCAGCGCAACGCGGCGCAGGGCGTACACGGGCAGTGTGACGCAAGGCAGGGCAGGGTAGGGCGCGCGCTGACAGCGCAGCGCAGGGCAGGGCGTGGGGTAGCGCGGTAACCGCAGTCGGACACTAGGTAATGGTGGGCCCGAAAAAAAAACGGTCCTACGGACCTACTGCTCTGAAACCATGTCAGAAATTAACTAGCAGGAATGATGCATTGATATTTACATACATTTTCGCGTTACTTACAAACGCGAACGAGTGATTCACCATGCTGCCCCACGTTTAGCGCGCGTCGTCACCCGCGCTCCCCCTCGCCACGGGTTTCGCATTGGGTTGGTGGGAATCGCAAATTGGGTGTGCGCGAAATGTTCACTTGCTCGTGGAGGAATTTTGATCTCGCCAAAGCCACACAACGAGGGCTAATTTTATCAGTGTAAATCACCCTGATACCCTGATAATCAGAGTGGTTTTTGGTAGTCACACTGATGGTCCCGGGTATTTTTTTTAGGAGTCAAGGTTTTCCTGATGTGCCAGGGTTTACATTTAAGGCACACTGATGACTAAGGGTTCCCGATTTCCATAACGAGTTTTACCCTGAATCGAGATCCATACCCCCCCCGCCCCCCAGTTCCCCCACCCCCCCTTTCCCGTAACCCGGGATTCCCGAATCCCGATTGCCAACTGGCGAAACCGAAACCGCCCCCCAGTTCCCCCACCCCCCCATTTGTGGCATGTCTGATGATGATTACTAAAATTTGTATCGAGTGCAACGTTAAAAACAATTCACCAGGGTTTGTCATTTACGAACACTGATGCGACGGTAGATTTTACAAAAACAGCCTAAACCCTGATGCATCAGGGTTTTTACAAGGGGTAACACTGATAATCAGGTTTTTGCACTTGTACTACACTGATAATAAGGGTAGCTCAAATCCAAAAATTAGCCCTGCACACAACCGAAATAAGTTTCGCACACCTTCGTTTTGTACTATTTCAACCTCACATAACTTGAAAATTTACCAAGCAGACCCCGGGCTTTAAGCATCTGACTTGCCGCATGTCAATGGGTCTTCCTCTAGTCCTGGCGTCCTCAAGTATGGCTGTTGTGGAACATGTGCAGTCTTTTTTGAAAGCTGCCTCCTGTCACAAAGTACCCTACAACGGTTGCAAGTTTCCCAATCACACGATGCAATTTCCAGAACACTTCTTATGCAGTATTGCACGGGATAGCATATGGGTCTACAATACATGCGATGGAATATAAATGGTCCTAAATAGCCATGTACTTTGAAGGGGTACATTCCCTTGGTGATTGCTCAAATACCGCACCACGACTTCATTGGCCAGATGGCTGCCCTTGATATAGCACTAAATTGTCTTGCTCTCTTTGCCCTCATCTGCGCTGGAGACTTTTCGTTACGGAGAGACAATGAAGCTGCTTCACGAATCGCAAATGCAAGGAGTGTGAGGGCAGCAGCAGTAAAGAGGCTGAAAGCAGCAGCTGTGAGTGTGGAAAGGCGAGAAGCAGGCTTGAGAGGAGGAGGGGCAGGAGGGGTCTGGGTGGAAGCAGATGACGCCTGAGGCACTGGCGATGCCGGTGCTGCAGTTAATTTCGATGCTGAAGTTGATTCCGGTGCTGCTGCGGGTGCTGGAGCTGCTGTGGGTGCTGCCCCTGAAGCATGGGACAGAATCACATGCAGTGGCAGACAGACACATACCACTCAACTACCAGCACACAGAAGCTGCATGCACATATGTATGTCATACTTATACACCCTTGTGCAACACATCTTCTAAAATAATCGAGACATTTAAAGTAATGTGCATACATATGCACAGCATGCACCTGGGGGTGCAGGCAAGCAAGTATCCACACACAGCAAGGCACAGGCACGTACACTTGAGGGGCGTGCAGGAGGAGCAGAAGGAGGAGCAGAGGCGGCAGAAGGACGAGGCGTTGCACTGCTTCACCCCACACTCGCTGCCGTCTGCCGGGCAGGTCAGCCCCGAGCCAGAGATGTTGCTGGCGGTGAGGGGGGTGGAGAGGGGGGAAGGATGCAGATAGGTGAGGTGAAAACGGGAAAGGTCGAGGGGAGGAGGCAGTGTGGCCAGTGCAACATGCTAATGTGCTGATGACTGTGTGATAATTGCGCAGCACCAGCATCAAAACATGCATGCATGTGGTGGCCTGGCTTCAAGCAACACAGATCTGGCATGGATAAATGGAGGCATGCATGGGTGCATGGGTGCATGGGTGCATGTGCGCATGGGTGCATGGGTGCATGGGTGCATGGGTGCAGGGCTCACAAGTAATAGAGGTTGCCAAAGACAGGAGGTATGGGACCAGTCAAGTTGTTGCCTCCAAGGCCCCTGCCATTTCATTCCATGCCATGCCATGCCATGCCATTCCACGTTACACCATGCCATGCCATGCCATTCCACGTTACACCATGCCATGCCATGCCATTCCATTCCACGTTACACCATGCCATGCCATGCCATTCCACGTTACACCATGCCATGCAAAGCCAAGCGACCCACACATGAGTACTTCAGCGAGCATCCTCGCTGCTTCATAGTGCCTGCAAACCATTGGCCCCACAGAGTTGCACAAGGTGATAGATGGAACAGGCATATATCGCCCTTCCCAAGCCATGCCCCTCCCCCAGTCCCGGTAAGTGTGCGTACAGAGAGATGAGGGACTCGGACAGGCCGGTTGCAGGCAGGGAGCCCTCCAGCTGGTTGTGAGCGATGGAGCTGGGAAGAGGGAGAGGGAGTGGGTTGGGGAAGGGAGGGAGGGGGGTGAAGCAAGCACACATGGCATCAGCACGAGATGCACGGCAGCAGCAAAAGATGCACGGAAGAAACAAGGGATGCACGGGGAGGGTGGAAGGGATGGGCTTACAGGGCTGTTAGCGAAGGCAGGGTGAAGACGGCAGGGGGCACCACTCCAGTGAACTGATTGTGAGAGATGTCCCTGATGGGGTAGGGATGCGTTGAGGGAGGGGGAGGAGGGGGAGCGAGAGGGGGAGGGTGGAGAGGAGGGGGGCGGGGGTTGGTTTAAACCAGCTCTGCCAGCATAAATTACGCCAGAAACATTGAACATTGTCAAAGCTGTGACACAGAGGTACGCATGCATGCATGCAGGAGGCAGCTCGAAGGCATTGACCGGAGGGCTCACAAGCTGTTGAGTGTTGTGAGCGTTGTGAGCTGTGCGGGCAGTGGGCCAGAGAAGCTGTTGGCTGATAGATTGCTGCGGAGACAGCAGAGGCGGTTGAGTGGATCACATAGGCCCGTTGCTTGCGTCTAGGCGAACACAATTCAGAGTTCGAGAATGATTCTTGCTGGGTCGAGACATTGGAAATTCGAAAGAAGGAAGGAAAGAAACAAGGAAAGAAGGAAAGAAAGAAGGAAAGAAGGAAAGAAGGAAAGAAGGAAAGAAGGAAAGAAGGAAAGAAGGAAGGAAGGAAGGAAGGAAGGAAGGAAGGAAGGAAGGAAGGAAGGAAGGAAGGAAGGAAGGAAGGAAGGAAGGAAGGAAGGAAGGAAGGAAGGAAGGAAGGAAAGAAAGAAAGAAAGAAAGAAAGAAAGAAAGAAGAGAGGCACGAGTGAGGGGAGAGTGCGGGAGACTGGAGTGGGGCTGCAAGGGCGCCCCATGCAGTGGTTCAGTGCGTGCAAGCACCACTTTTGGGTGAGGCACAGCCTGAAATGAGCACATGCGTGCGGAGTGTGCGATGCTGAGCAGCTGAGATGAGCGAGTGCGGGAGAACTCTCAGAAGTGAGAGAGCATGCATGCAGCAGGGGTGGGCATGGCATGTGTGCATGCGTACAGCTTTTTGTACTGCGGTGCGGAAAGAGTGGCTGAGGGGAAGGGCCCCGTGAAGCTGTTGTTGGATATGTCGCTGCAGAGAGGAGAGAGAGGAGAGGGCAGGCAAGGGGGGGAGGGAGGGCAGGGGGGGCGGAAAGGAGGACGGGCAGGGAGGGGAGGGCAGGAAGGGTAAGAAAGAGGGTGGGAAGTGACGGTGGGGGAGGGCGAGAAGGGTAAGCTGCATGAGGGTGAGAGGTGAGGAGTGGGGTAGCAGAGTGGGGGAGCAGAGTGGGGGAGATGCATGAGGGACGTGGGGAGGAGGCGTGTCATACAGTTCGGCGAGGGCGAGCTGTGCGAGGGGAGCAGGGAAGGCGCCTGACAAGTTGCACGACCCGATGTTGCTGTGTGGCAGGCAGGGCAGGGCAGGGCAGGGCAGGGCAGGGCAGGGCAGGGCAGGGCAGGGCAGGGCAGGGCAGGGCAGGGGTCACCACAGGAGGGCAGGCTGTGTGGCAGCGAGGAGGGTGAGGGTGCAAACGGACTCGGCACGCAGGAGCAATGGGAAACGAGCAGACTGAGCTGCAATGGAGACGGAGGAGCAGAGGAGGAGACCAAGAGGCGAGGGGCACGGCACAGCGAGGAGGATGCCTGCAGGCATGACGCAACGCAGCGCAACGCGGTGAAACGCAACGCAATGCAGCGCGGTGCGGTGCTCACAGGGTGGAGATGTTGGTCATGCGTGCAAGCACATCCAGGCCACCCGAGAGAGCGTTGTGGCTGATATCCCTGTGGGGGGCAATGGGGTATGGGTATGGCATAGCATGGCAGGGGTGAGGCATGGGGGTGGCAGGAATGGGGTAAGAAGACTTACATGTTTGCGATGGAAGGAAGTGGGAGAGAAAGGTGGGGAAAGAAGGTGGGGAAGGAAAGGTGGGAGAGAAAGGTGGGGAAGGAAAGGTGGGAGAGAAAGGTGGGGAAGGAAAGGTGGGAGAGAAAGGTGGGGAAGGAAAGGTGGGAGAGAAAGGTGGGGAAGGAAAGGTGGGAGAGAAAGGTGGGGAAGGAAAGGTGGGAGAGAAAGGTGGGGAAGGAAAGGTGGGAGAGAAAGGTGGGGAAGGAAGGTGGGAGAGAAAGGTGGGGAAGGAAAGGTGGGGGAGAAAGGTGGGGAAGGAAAGGTGGGAGAGAAAGGTGGGGAAGGAAGGTGGGGAAGGAAGGTGGGGAAGGAAGGTGGGAGAGGAAGGTGGGAGAGGAAAGGTGGGAGAGGAAGGTGGGAGGCGGAGGTGCCACAGGGGGAAGGGGATGCAGCGGGCTTACACATTTGCAATGGAGGGGGGAGATGGTGATGCCGCAGGTGGAATGGAATGCATGGGGCTTACACATTGACGAGCGCAGGAAGGTTTGCCAAGGATGGTGGGATGGGCCCTGACAGATCGTTGTAGCTCACATCCCTGCCGGGAGAGATGGCGTGCAGGGGGGGAGAGAAGCGGGGGAGATGAGAGAAGAAGCCAAGATATGAGTGTGTGTGTGGGAGGGTGGTGTGCGTGTGGAAGGAAGTGAGTTGGATATGGGGGCTCTTTGGGGGTGTTGTGTTGGGGGCGGTGCATCATCTGACCCACACTTGGTACTGCAAGATAAGCACAGCCATGACTTGACGGCTGGAAATGCAGGTGGCACGAAGGTGGCAGACGAAGGTGGGAGATGGAGGTGCCAAAGGTGGGTGGGTTGAAGGGACTCACAGAATGGCAAGGGCAGCAAGGCCTGACAATGATGCTGGAGTGGGCCATGTGAAACGATTGTGGCTCAGTCGCCTGTGGGACAGGAGAGATGGAGTGGGTCAGACGCTTGTGGACGCTCATCAAGAAGTTGTCGCCTCCCATGCCTTGCATCCCATGCCTTGCATCCCATGCCCCCCATGCCTCCCATACCCCCCATGCCTCCCATGCCCCCCATGCCTCCCATACCTCCCATGCCTCCCATGCCCCCCATGCATCTCACAAGCCACAACCCGCCACTCACATGCCACAACCCGCCACTCACATGCCACAACCCGCCACTCACATGCCACAACCCGCCACTCACATGCCCTCCAGGAGTTGCGGGGCAGCAGGAGAGGCAGGGAAGGGGCCCTCCAGGGCATTGTGGCTCAGCGAGCTGACCAGCGCAAGCAATGGGGAAATGGGGGGCAACGCAAGGGGGCACAGTCCACGAGAACAGTCCCTATAGCCCAGTATCCACATGCCTCTCCTCTTCTTCCCAGCCGACCTCTCCTCTTGGTTTACTCACAGGCTAACCAGAGACGAGGGCAACACAGGCAGCGAGCCAACCAGGGCGTTATGGGAGAGATCCCTGCAGGCAGGCGGGCAGACCGGCAGAGAGGCACGCAGGCAGGCAGGCAGGCAGGCACGCAGGCACGCAGGCAGGCACGCAGGCAGGCAGGCAGGCAGGCAGGCAGGCAGGCAGGCAGGCAGGCAGGCAGGCAGGCAGGCAGGCAGGCAGGCAGGCAGGCAGGCAGGCAGGCAGGCAGGCAGGCAGGCAGGCAGGCAGGCAGGCAGGCAGGCAGGCAGGCAGGCAGGCAGACAGGCGGGCGGGCAGGCAGGCAGGCAGGCAGGCGGGCAGGCACACAGAGAGTGAGGGAGAGATGCTGCACGGTTTCAGGTTACAGAATACTAGGCACAACAGCACTGTTGCTGCAAAACCGCAACATATGAAGGGTAAGCCACGAGTGTGCTAATGAGAAAGGTGCCCGAGCGGTCATGAGAGGCGTGGCGTACAGCTTTGAGAAGCCAGTGAGGGCGGAGATGGTGGTGGGGTAAGGCACGAGCCTGCTAAAGACGCGAAAGGTGCTGAGGACTCATGGGAGGCGTACAGCACTGAGAGGCTGGTGAGGGCGGAGATGGTGGCGGGGAGGGAGCCTGAGAAGCCGTTGCCCGCTGCCAACCTGCGATGGGGGGAGAGAGTGAAGTGGGATGTGCAGCAGAGCAGAGCAGAGAGCCAGGAGTTATTCATGAGTGGGGGGAGCACAATCATATGACACACACAGAGAGGGCGAAAGGGGTGCCTGGTTCAGATGAAATGAACCGGATATAATGCTCAATCCTCGCTCGTGACGCGCGTCCACCCGCCGCGTGAGGCTGCTGTGCGTGCGTGCGTGCCCCCCTGTTGTAGTAGCAGCTGCTGCTGGCACTCTGTGACCTCGATACACATAAACAAGGTGAATCATGGGCATCAGAAGAGCGACACGCGAGCAGCAGGCAGGGTGACAAACGAGCAGCAGGTACGCAGGCAGGTGGGCGGGCGGGAAGGCATCAGCTCACAGGGTGTTGAGGCTGGTGAGAGCCGTCCACTCGGCTGGAAACTGCGAGGAGCGCGCAGGGGTGAGGCCGTCGGGTGCTGTCACATCCCTGGAGAGAGGAGGGAGAGTTAGGCGGGTGGTGAGGAGAGGGCAAGGTGATTGATGAGGAGAGAACATAGTGGGTGGTGTGGAAATAGCACGGTGCGTGATGTGCAGAGAGCATGGAGGGTGGGTGGTGCAGTGCAATAGTGCAACGGCTTTTGAGGCGCCTCAAAAGTGGGTGGGTGGTGCAGTGAAAAAGTGCAACGAGGGGTCGACAACGTGAGAGTGACGTGAGAGGATTGCTAGAGCCTAGAGGAATGTAAGAGTCGCGCCTGAGACACGAAGAAACGGGGGGAAAGACAGGGTTGGTGGAAATTACAGGAATTGCAGGTGCGGGAGTTGTCCGATCCACGATGGCACGCTGGTAAAACTGAGATAGCTCAGGTCACTGCTCCACAGGGGAAAGGCGGGAAGGGGCGTGGTTGGTAACGTTGCTGGCACGCACAAGCAATTTGAGCTACTTGCCTAATCACTGGGGAGAACATGCATCAGCAGGTATCAAGGAGGAAGGATATCAACCATCCATGAGCAGCTGCTGTACCGTTGCCGGCTAACCTTTACGTTACGCCCTACTTGGTGTGATGCAGCAAGCACAGAGAGGGCGAGGCACGGAGGGAAGCAGAGAGGGGCCTCAGCAAGCGGCGGTGTAAGTCCACAACTCGTGGGGGAATTGTGTCTGTATGCAATGCAGTGCAGCAAGCCGAGGTGACTTCTGAGTCGACTTGAAAGTCATCTCTGTGTCTGTACTCAGCAAGCCGCACTGTAAGGCCTTACTGGCCGTTACGTACAGGTGGGCGAGATTGGTGAGGGCGGAGAGAGAGGCAGGGAGCTCTGCTGCAGTGAGGTCGATGTGTCCGAGGGAGCTGGTGGGGGTAAAGAGGAGGAGGAAAGAGAGCGGAGAATTAAAAGAAAAAGAGTGAGGGGAGGAAACATGAAGACAGGATTTAGAATAGTGACGCCAACCTCTGAATTGGAACGTGAACCTGGTTACCTAGTCAAGGTGAAAGAAACCCCACTCTCTGAACTGAATGCACACCTCCTCTCATTCCTCTCACACACCGATTGTCGACACACTCTCATCCCTGTTGTCGACACCTGTACGCTTCAGTGGTCGAGAGGGCAGAGCAGTGAGGGAAGGCCGTGACTCACAGGTATGTAAGGGCGGTGGCTTTACCGAGGGAGGCGGGGATCTCCCCAGTCAGCGCAGTGCCGAGCAGATCGCTGCCGTGTGTGGTGGGGAGGACAGATGGGGAGTTGAGTGCGCTTGCGTGAGACCAAGGGTATGAGGGGATAATACAAAAGCGATTGAGCGTCGGGCATATGAGGGAGGAATGGAATGAACAGCCGCGCAATCTTGAAAGTTCTCAAAAGGGGATCCAGTACACAAGGAGAAGTGAAGTGCAGAAGAACGGGGGCGTACAGGGATTGCAAGGCGGGCAGGCAGTCAAGAAACTCCAGGCTGCCGGTCAAAGAGCTGAAGGAGAGATCGCTGCAGGGCGGTGGGGTGCAGAGGGTTGGAGGGAGATGAGGAGAAGGCTTATCAGAAAGAGAACCATCGGTCACACGATGAAGGAGAGAGAGGAAGGGAGTGGGAGGCGAGTATGGATGGTGACGGGACCTGAGGGTGCGAGTTGTGGAAAACGAGAGAGGCACGGCTCACAGTTCCTGGAGAGCGGTGAGGTTGCGGAATGCGTCCATGGGGATGGGGCCCGCGAGGCCCAGGCCGCCCAGGTTCCTGGTGACACGCAGGAGAGTGGGGAGAATGGGGAAGGGGCATGGTTGGTAACGTTGCTGGCACGCACAAGCAATATGAGCTGCTTGCCTAATCACTGGGGAGAACATGCATCAGCAGGAGAGGAGAAGAAAGGAGAGGAGATGAGAGGAGAGTGTCTTGTTTTTCTAGGGTTGAGAAAAAGGGACGGGAGGAAACGTGAAGACAGGGAAGCCATAGTGAAAGCGACCACTAAGCAGCGAAACAAATTGGATTGAACAGTGCAACGATATAGAACACACACTAGAGAGGAACTGCCGAGCCAAGGCACAAGAGAAAACAGAGAACGCAAGTGGGAGGGAGGGACACACCAGTGCACGTGGCCCTCAACTTGGACATAACAAGAACGAAAACCCACGTTCTGAACTAACATGCATGCTTCCTCTCATGCCTTTCACACACCTCCCCTGTTGTTCACACCTATACGCTCCGGTGGGCGAGAGGGCAGAGCAGGGAGGGAAGGCCGTGACTCACAGGTATGAGAGGGCGGTGGCTTTGCCGAGGGAGACGGGGATCTCCCCAGTCAGCTCAGTGGCGTGCAGATCGCTGCCGTGTGTGGGGAGGACAGATGGGGAGTTGAGTGCGCTTGCGTGAGACCAAGGGTATGAGGGGATAATACAAAAGCGATTGAGCGTCGGGCATATGAGGGAGGAATGAAATGAACAGCCGCGCGATCTTGAAGTGAAGTGGAGAGGAACGTGGGCGTACAGGTATTGCAAGGCGGGCAGGCAGTCAAGAAACTCCAGGCTGCCGGTCAAAGGGCTGAAGGAGAGTTCGCTGCAGGGCGGTGGGGTGCAGAGGGTTGGAGGGAGATGAGGAGAAGGCTTATCAGAAAGAGAACCATCGGTCACACGATGAAGGAGAGAGAGGAAGGGAGTGGGAGGCGAGTATGGATGGATGGTGACGGGACCTGAGGGTGCGAGTTGTCGTAAACGAGAGAGGCACGGCTCACAGTTCCTGGAGAGCGGTGAGGTTGCAAAATGCGTCCATGGGGATGGGGCCCGCGAGGCCCTGGCCGCCCAGGTTCCTGGTGACACGCAGGAGAGTTGCAGGGAAGGAGATGAGGAGACGGTTGAGGGGGCGTTTGAAGGGGGGGGGATGGCCTGACGAAGGTGAGTGAGCCAAATGGAAAAGAGCGAAAGGTGTGTTTCCAAGATATCAAAAGGAAGAAAGGATGCTTCGTTGTGAGGAAGAAAGGATGCACACACTTGCACACACTTGCACACGCATGCACACACTTGCACACGCACGCACAGGCATGCACACACGCGCGCGCGCACACACACACACACACACATGCACACGCGCACGCACGCACGCACGCACGCACGCGCGCGCACACACACACGGACGCACGCACGCGCGCGCGCACACACACACGCACGCACGGACGCGCGCGCGCACACACACACACACGCACGCACGCACGGACGCGCGCGCGCACACACACACACACGCACGCACGCACGGACGCGCGCGCGCGCGCACACACACACACACACACACACACACACACACACAGCGCCTGTTAGACCCAGCAGCAGCATACATTCCTGAACCCAGCATGTGTCTCACATATCGGTGACCATGCCTCGGCCGTCACATGTGACGCCCATCCACTGGGAGCACATCTCCGCCGCTTCCCACCCCGTCAGCGCCACCAGCGCCGCCACTGCCAGTTCCGCCGCGGAAGGGAGGGGGGAGATGAGGGGGAGAAGGGGGGAGAAGGAAGGAATGGGAAGGGGGAGGGGGAGGGGAAGGGGGAGGCGGAGTGTGAGGGAAAGGGGAGAGGCCAGAGAGAGGGGAAAGGAGAGAGGAAGGGAGGAGAAGAAGCCTTGCGATCACGTCAGCATGGCCGGAAGGCGAAGCAATGGCGCATGCCAAAGCGGAATCGGTTTAGGTTATGACCATGATCGTGGCTGACGTTACGTTTATATCGCGTACAAAGGCGACTCACATTGCGAGGGTGCGAGCTTCACATCGCCCGGCGGGCTCGCTGCGGCTGGCTGCGCCACTTCGGCGCTCAGGCGACGAGCGACGGACGGACGACGAAATTCTGCGACGAATGTGGCATCTGGCGAGGCACGCCGCGACAGGCGCTTAGTCACCACGCTGCTGCTATGAGCGCCATCCAGAGCCGTGGTGGTGGCGGCGCCGGTGATCACGGTGGCGGGGGAGAGGAGCGCGGCGAGTAGCAGCACGCAGGCGAGGAACGACATGATGACGTGGCGAGGCTGATGCGAGGCGTGTTGATCTTGCTCGCGGAAACACACGACTGGCGGAAACACACGACTGGCGGAAACACACGATTGGCGGAAGATGCTGCTTTCGAAACGAGCGTGATGCGTGCGTAGCTACCTGACTCTGAGAGTAGCGGGTATGAAGTTGTGCCAAAGAATGATTCGTTAAAAATACCTGGAGGGTTTGCGACACTGAAACTGACCAGCGAGTCCGATTGCCCGGGATTCGCAGCACTGCCCGTCCCGAAGGCGACTGAGTCCGACGGTCCTGGATTCCTCAATGTAGCCGACTGGCGGGTCCGGCAACCTGGCAACCCTCAGGTTGTACCATGCTTGTCCCATACGTGAATGGACTGCGTGTGACTAGTCCGCTTCGCATTTTCGCCGGGCATTTTCGCGATACAACACCGACGAGGAAAGAACAGTCTGGCTTCCACATGGGCTGCGTTCTGCGGGCGCATCAGCCCGCATCAATGGTGCTGTTCGCCAGTACCTTTGAAGCCAAAAACACCGGGATAACGACGGGATCAGGAAGGTGGGTCTCGCCTTCCTGATCCCATCAGTTAGGGTTCGTTTACCTCCGTCAGCCTGGTCAGCCCGTAAAAAAACTGCCGAGCCTCCCCTACAGTCCAAACCAAAAACCAAAGTGGGGGTCTGGCGAACGCCCCCATTTGACGATCTAATCGAACTGCTCGACGACATATGGAAGCGGGAACGCAACTTCGTCCCCAGGCAAAATTCCCTCCCCAAGCTATGCCATCGCCATTCCCGGTTTTCCAAAGGACAGCGATGGCACAGCCGTTGCATTGCTGTTCAGAGGGGAGCCATTTGTTTGACAAATGGGGGTTCGTATACCCCCCATTTTTCCCCTCCCGAACATACCTTCGATGTGCCGCACATGACTTGGTTTTATTTGCGGTTTTTACCCACGTCGAGCACTTTTTGGCCCGCGGGCAGGCTGTGGTCAGTGAAGCTAAACTTTCGCGCCATTGGGGGGAAGGTGGGGATGGAGGTTCCCGATGCGGTTGCGTACTTTCGCCTTTCGGACGCAGAAGTTCCTCGAGTGGCATTACGCCCAAACCTCGGAGGTGGGTTCTGCCTCCGTTTCCAGATGCGCGCGCGATGCCGATGCCATCTTTTTCATTTCAAATTACGATTTGCTGGCGAACAGCACCAATATGCATTTCCACATTTTACGATGGTTCCAGGATCCTTTCTTGATAACCTGCCGACAGGTAGGCTCGCGATAAGCACACGGCTGCCGAGGCAAACCAAGCCCGAATCCCTGCAGAACGGCCTTTTTTGCCCTCGAAATTTGTAATGTTCCTACATTCCAAGAAGCTTCCTTTCCTAGCAATTGGGCACATCACTGATGCGCGCATCATGCAACTTCGAAAGATTGCATCATGCGCGCATCAGCTGATGCGCTGCAACCTCATTGGCCAATCTGTTTGGCATCTCCAAAATTCAGCGACAGCGGCCTTTCGAGAAACTTCTAACATTCAAAATGCTGAAATTCGTCAGAAAATTGAATGTCTAATTTACAGACCTCAATTTAAATTCGTCAAAATTCCCAAACCTAAATTCCAAATGTCCGAACCTCAATTTCGCAATTTCAAATTTTCAATTTCCGGACCTCTATTTTTCAATGTGCGCATCAGGCCGAGCCTCAGACGCATCAGAGCTTATGCGCCTGCAAAACGCAGCCATGGTCCTGCATAATGGCCCTGTTCGGCAGGCGCATGAGCAAAGGCTTGGGAATGGGCTACACTAGAATGACCAATTGGTATGCTTCCGAGCTAAGCGGTTGATCGGCTATCAAGGCCTGGGATATGCGCATGAGCACCGAAGCGAAATGAGGCTGAATTACTGCCGAACGGTGTTTTTGGTCTTAGGTTTGAGAACCGAGACCTAGTGCCTGGAACCATCCTCCCCTGGCAAACCGACGCACCACTCATGCGCGCATGGTGCGTCGTGGAGAGGTAGCATCCATGGGCGCATGAGTGATGCGGGGCGGCATTGAAGATTCTTCAGGTTGCTCATTGGTAGGTTGTAAGGGAGGATGGTTCGATGTTGGCCAAGGAAAGTTTTGATCCCTAACCAGCAAGCAGGGCAGCCCGGACAATCTTCCTTCACCGAGCCTGTGACTGTTCACCGCGTTGTGGCACTGTACCCGAAACCCAAACTTAACCATTTGGTACGTTACACCACTCCCAAACCAGTGCTCATTCCCGAGCCTAGATGCTCATGCGCATGCCGAACAGGGCCAATGGCAGGCAAGCCCTTCCGCGGAATCATCGCGGCTGTTTCGACTTAGGCTTTTTTCCCACGGTCAGCCCGCAATCTGTCAGAATGAACAAGAGTGAATGCACTAGGAAAGGGGTGGGTACAAGTAGGAAAACCTAAAACTGTTGTACCCCATAGGAACTACCCCACTACAGCCTAAACAGACTATAGCATATAAGTTTGACACACCCCCATAGGCAAAGTGGGGGAGAGCAAGGGGTCACAAGACCAGTCAAGAAAAGCAAAGCAAGCCCAGGGTGGATCACAACGTCACCACGCATTCTGAGCACAAGCAGATGGCTACAAGGCCAGTTCACATGCAGAGTTATACAACAGTGATCAAAACCTAGCAAGTGAAAGCATGCAGGTTTAGATATATAGATCACAGTACAAGCAAAGTCAAGAAGTGAGCAAGTGAGGCAAGGTAGGCACAAGGCCTAGAACAGTACAGAAACGCTGATCATCACAAGTGCCTTGGTGAAGATATCAGCAGTGTTGGCCTGAGAGGCCACGTAAGCAAGACGAAGCTAACCACGCTGCTGCAACTCTCGAGCAAGAAAGTAGCGAAGGGCAATGTGCTTCGTTCTGTGCTCCAGTCTGTGCTCCTGACACAAGGTCAGCATGGCCTTGTTGTCGACGTACAGAACTGGAGGAGAACGAGGCGCCTCTCCCAAGTCGGTCAGCAGGTAGGTGAGCCAGCGTAACTCCTGTGCAGCCATGGCCCCTGCGTAGATCTCAGCCTCACAGCTGGAGCTGAGAACAGAAGACGAGCGGGTAGACCGCCACGAAACATAACCGGAGCCAGGACTGAAGGTGTAACCCTGTGACGACCGCTGCGTAGCCAAGTCGTCAACCCAAGAAGCGTCTGCGTGACCAGTGAGGACAACTCGAGCCCGTCCTCCAAGCACAAGCCCCATGCCCGACGTACTGCACAGGTAGCGCAACACCCTCTTCGCTGCAGCCATGTGCTCTGGTCGGTGTCTCCCAGGAGCAACATAGCGTGCCAAGATGCTAAGAGGGTATGCCAAGTCAGGTCGAGTGCAGATCATCAGGTACATGAGGCAGCCAACAAGCTCCGGGTATGGGCCACTCGGCTCTACGGACTCATCCGAAGGCAGAGCTGAGAGCGAGTGGCGAGTAGACAGAGGAGTGGCCTGTGGCGAGGAGTACGTGAAGTTGAAGCGCTGAAGGACCTGCTGCACCATGTGTGACTGAGTCAAGGTAATGGTGCGCCGTGCTCTGTCCCGGGTGATCTGCAAGCCAAGATAGCTGCGCAGTTCACCCAGGTCTGTGCACGTGTGTCTCTTCTGCAGCTCCGACTTCACGTGGGCGAGTCCCTCAGTGTCAGCAGTGGCAAAAACCAAGTCGTCGACGTACACGAGGATGTAGAACGGCGGCAGCGAAGTGTCGGTGCGCAGAAACAGCGACGGGTCAGCAGTAGAAGGAGCAAACCCAAGAGCCGCAAGCGTAGTCCTCAGTGTGTCGTGCCACTCACGGGGCGCCTGGCGGAGACCGTAGACTGGCCGCCGGAGGCTCCACTGGGTACCAGGAGGAAACGACCCAGTGAAGCCAGGTGGGCGGCGCAGCTAGATCTCCTCGTGCAGGCTGCCCTGTAGGAAAGCAGTGCTGAAGTCAAGAGAGTGAAGCTCGTAGTCACGCTGAGCAGCGACGTGCAGCAGAACCCGAAGAGTGGTCATCTTCGGGGTCGAGGAGAAGGTCTGGAAGAAGTCAACTCCCTGTCGCTGACTAAAGCCTCGAGCAACGTAACGCGCCTTGAAGACAGGCGGAGAACCCGGCGGCCGCTTCACCCTGAAAATCCACATGCCACTGACGATGTTCGCCCCAGGAGGGGGAACCTCGTCAACGTAGGTGCCTGTGGACTTCCAGGATGCCATCTGTGCGTCCATGGCTGACTGCCACTGAGAGGAGTAGGGACCCTCTATCGCCTCTGCGTAAGAGCGTGGGGTCGGGATGTCTGGTGCATCCGGGTCTCCCTCAGGTGCAATCAGCATGGACACGAGATGAGGTACAGCGGCTGCAAAGCACTCGAATTCCTCCTGCCTGTCCTCAAGGACGTCCATGCCAAGAGCACACTTACCCCCGGCGGACGGAGGACAGACAGACTCAGACTCAGCAACAAGACTCGCGGCGTAGTCTAGACGACAGTGAGCAGCAAAGTCGACAAGCTCAGCAACTAAGGCAGATGCAGCAGTGGACTCAAAGGAAGGGTCAGTGACAACAGTGGCCAGGAGACGCGTAACAGTAGGACTAGCCGCACGAAGGGAGTCAGACTCCGGGTCAGCAAGGGCAGGAAGAGAGGACGCAGGAGGAGACGGCAGAGGAACACGCTGCGGAGCAGTGGAAGGACGCAGAGCCATCTGGTGCATGCCAGGGACAGGAGGAGGACGCTGACGCGGACCACGACGACCAGTGCGAGTAGTACGAACAGGCGACGCAGGACGAGACGCAGGCTCACGACGCTCAGCAAGACCTCCAGTCGGACCAGTGTAAGGAGAGGGAGCAGGCAGTGGGGAGGCGGGCTGTAACTGCAACAATGACGGGACAGGCGGTGGACACTCTAAGAGAGGAGCAGGACCAGGAGAAGGCGGGAGACCAAGAACCTGCTGAAGGAGCGGAACGAAGTACGGCCGCGGCCGCGCAGCGCCTCCAGAACCAGCAGAGACAGCACCAGC